TGTTGAAATATGAAGCATTTGTGCTAAGTGAGCCGAAACCAAGAAAAACGCAGGAAATACCACTATAGAGATCCAAAATAAGAATCCTTCTCAGCTTCTTACAAGCTAAGCCTGGAAGAAGGGCCGCTGCAACCGCTTCACCCTTATCTATCGCGTTATACGCGACGTTTGCACTCTCTCCCATATCACGTAGTAGTAGGACGCATTTCCACCTCATCGTAGCGCTGTATTTCTCTACACCACGGCCGACCCCCTAGAGGTGTTTTAGGCTTCTCTGGAGCTTTATGCTCTTCCTCCTCACACAAACCTCCTCATTGCACTCCTTGTTTCATTTTCGAACTGAAAAACACACAAATTTGATCCCGACTTGTGCTTCCAACTACAGATACACTTACCGTACAGCTTGTCTTCCTCATAGGTCTTGTCGTACCCGGGTTGGCACTGTCTTTTGCATGGCGGCGTTCCTTTATAACCGGCTTTACAGAACTCGCCCGTGTGATCTCCACACGGGGGAAACTGGTATGGACGGCAGCAGTCCTACCAACGGAGGCATTAGAATTTGCAATAAACATCAGGAACTTCGTGAAACTCTACCTGGCTGCCATAATTCCCTCCGGTGACGGTACCCTCGATTGTAAAGTAAGCAAAGGCATACAGCGGATGGCCTCCATCGCATCTGAAAAAAAATGTGAAAAGGAGGCGTGCGCCTAGCATTTCTTGTGAAGCATTCGAGAAACATTTGCTTTAATAACAAACGTTTTCAAAATGGTGGGAAGCTCAAAGTAGCCCCAGTTCTCTGGGGAATGGGGTCGGCGTGATAGGAGAAAGGCAAAGTTCAGGACCGAACCGCTGTGTTATTACGCTTGTAACTGACAGTGGGGACGTGAAATGTAACGCCAATAATGGCAAAGCGGGAATAAATCATTGGAAAGGGCGAACGATACCCCCTCTCCGGTAGCGGCGAAGCGAGCGAATAGCATTAATTGGTGGGCGGGGTCAATGGAATTGGGCGGGACCGATGCTGCAGTCAAGGAAAGGCAAGTCCTTGAAAGACGAACGGATACCCCTCGGGGCGGTAGCGGCGAGCGACACGCGAAATAGATTAATTGGATGGGCCGGGTTCACAAAACCGTACAAGGAAGAAGGGTAATATCTAACCCTAAGCCTTGATGGAAGGTCCGGATCAGAAAAGCCCCTCAGCGTAAGGCGAAGGCTGAGGTTTACAAGTCCACAAAAGCCACGGGACAGCGTTTAGGCGAGGGAGCGCAGGCTAGGGCAAAGAATTGGGCGCTCTTCGAAGAATCCGTGCAAAAAGTCCATGGTTGATCACCGACCATTGCCCAATGGTAATCACTTTAATCTGCCTTCAAGGCTAGAATCGAACTAGAAATCTTACCCATTGCCACACTGTGTGCAGCATGTCATAATGTCCTCGGCTGACATCTCCGCCTGAAACTCTGTGAATCTGAGTCTAGCGATAACCCATGGGATATGGTTGCTGTACCTTAATAGCCCCGTTGGTGGAAATGCAAAGTCGATCTGACATGACTTCAGCCGACGCGACCGCCCAGCACGCACCTGCAAAAGCTTCTGCTTGATATCCTTCTCGAACAAATGGCCGCATGACCATGGCACTATTTTTACCAGCATCGATTTTTTTATTGTGCACAGGGTCGACCGTCACGTTGGACCGATTTCGAAATTTTTTCGACCCCCCCCTTCTAGAGGGCCTCAATACGACCTCCCCCTTTTTTCACCCCAAATACGACCGCACCCTTCGGTTGGAACTTTGTTCTAACGACGGTTGACCCTGATTTTGCATGCCATCAACAATTATAATATTTAGCTTGGTAATGAGCAAATCCCTTTGTCTCAGGCAACAACCATACTGTAGGAAGCTGTAAGTCTCTAGTTTCATTCAGGGAGCAAATCGGCTCACAGTAGCAGATTTTTGACAACATTTCTTATTTTGGTTGTATATATGGGCCAACTAGGGCGGACAACTAGGACAACTAGGGAAATGGTGTAGTGGCAAGTGGCACGCTTACCACGCGGCCAATTCGGTCCGGGATCAAGTACTGTGGTGGCTTGGTTCGCCCGGGGCAACCCAGCTTCTTCCCTCTGGGATCGGGATTTAATTGGTATCAGATCTTGCTCTGGAGCCGGTAATAACACTGACTGTACAGCGGCAAACCCCCCCCCCTCATTGTGATAAGCGAGGAATCGCGTTCGCATTCGAAATGGGTCGATAGGGGAAGTAGACGGGCGAGTGACATTCCATCCCAGAAAGAGATCGATCAACGGCAAATGCTTTGTGCTCACCGTTATAAACCATGTAATGCCCAGTGTTTTCCACTAGTATGAGCTCCAAGCATATTGTGCATCGCAGAGCTGATTTCCATCGAAACAAGCCTTTTGGCTGCAGAGAGAAGAACTCAGATAAAGATCTACTCACCGCACTTTGACTGGTCGCGGATGTAATTCAATGACGGGCACATCTGACCCCATTGAAGACGACCATCAAAACTGTAATTGCAAGCGTTACAGTACTTCGGAGTGTCTCACGGAGCGGCTGAATACTTTATTTTAAAGAATTCGCGAGCCTATCGATGCCAGTGGTTCATGATGCCATTGTTCAAGGAGCGACTGTGATGGCTGAGGACGTTGCTTGGGTTCTGATGACTCCGCTGTAGTCACGTTGTTGTACTGGTTAGGCCCTCGGCGGTTGGGAGGTGTTGTTGTGAATCCCTTAGCGTTCTCTCACCAAGGACGTTCAATCAATCGTCAGCAACCGCACAGCCCTTCCAGCCATTCGGGTATTTCACTTCATCCTTTTAATCCGAACAACCTTTACTTATCCGGGCTAAATGCTATTACCGAGATCACGGAGCGAAAGCAGGATTCAACTTGGTGGGGGTTTGACATTTTTTTCTTGTAATATATATATTAGGTTCATAGGCGTCCGGACTTCTTTACACTTCTAACGATCGCTTGTCGCGTATAGCTTTTTTTGGAATATTCTGGGCGATTCTGCACAATTGCCGCTCTACTGCGGTCAAAACGTCTCTGTTCTACTCTCTGTCGTAGAAGGGATGCAACTGTGTCTCTAAAAATCTGTGACTACTAGTAACGACACCGTGTCGGCCACTTTTTTCGGTGAAAGATAATCTAATGGTTTGTAAGGAGAGGGAGTGACACTAGCGACTATGGGGCCGATAGAAAAGCACTATAGGAACATAGCGTGCGCTGCAAGTCGCGCTCGCGCTCGCTCTGTGTCGGGGTGTGCCACACAATTGGGACGCGACGGCCGAAGTAATTTCCGATCCCTATCCAATTTTGATATTGTTTCTAAGCGATTTTTATCCAATGCTTCTTGATTTTGTGTTTTTTTTGTGGGAGGGAGGGTCAACAGAGTAGGGAGTTGCCGCGCTTTGTCTTGCGACGTCTTGGCGGGCACGCGGAATACTGTATTCGCGCGCGATGTAGAAAGTTATCCTTGGCGAGAGGGAGAGAGGATATCGAGGCAAAAGAAGATGAACAAAAGAGTTAGGAGTTGCACTTTGAGCTCAGGTTCAGGTACGTCACCGTGAAAGGGTCCCGAGAATTGTCTGAGATCGGGAGGTGACCGCGGGGGAGTGCAGCACGTCGGTATTGCTTCTTGCTACGCTAGTAGTCTGGAGACGCTCTAATCAGTTCGTCCTGTCTTTAGGCTTAGTTCGTGGACAGATTGCTGAAATGGTCGACGGAGCTGCTTGAGGCTCAGGGCCTTGATACGCTCCCGCCTCTACTTGCTAGGCCCTTCCCTCAAGTTATTAGTCTAGGGTTGCACCCGTTCTGTGTCGTAAGCGTGGACCATTGAAAAAATCAAGTAGTCCGTAAACCGTTTCGAAATATGACGGCAACACGGACTAAGCCTTGGAGGAAAACACGAACAGAGCGCTGCGTCATCGCGTGGACCCTTCCAGCTACCCCAGTTCACGGGCACCTTAAGTGGATCTTTAAGTTAACCCGTTCAGCGGGAGCAAACTGACTTGGCCGCGCCCGCCACGGCCATGCCCCAATGTGTGAAGAAAGTCACGGAGCCGTTTGGATGTGTTTTCAACCCTTCTTGTGACTGAATTCGACCTGCCGAGAGCTATTTTGGGTCTTCCTCTTCCTACGGTGCAGTCCATCCAAGGGCAGACATAACCGAAACCTTGACTCAAAATTTCATAATTGATATAGTCACTAGTTGAAGAAGATTTGGCAGCTGGCAACACGTTTCACCGGATGAATTAGCACTGGAAATGACCCATCCACCCAGTTCATAGCAGCCATCTGTTATAGCGCTTTCTTAACCCATGCATATAGTGGAATGACTGACTATACTGGAATGTCACCGCCGTTGTCGTTCTCGAAGTTACCGCGTAGCTTGGCTTTTTTCGGTTGTTTGCTGTATTTCAGATCCATAACCATATGCTTGTATCTTTCATCAGGCGTTGGATCAACCTAAAAGTGGGCATTTTGAATACTCATGTGATATTTGTACAAGAGACCTGTCGCGCGGCGAAAAGGCAGAGACGCAGATGGGTCGGCGGACGAGTTGCAGCGCGTACTGCAGCGATTTAGCTAGCGTCAAGTTAAATTGATTGCACTGTAGCATGTACGTTCCAGTCGTAAAAGACAACGCTGCGACTCGTCCGCTAGACCGTTTGCGTCTCTGTCTTCTCGTCGCGCGATGGGTCTCCTGTCCGGCACCCGAAATTTCTTGGTTTGTGGACTACCTCGAAGAGTTCCTGGTTACTCTTGAGATATTCTACCAGTGGTGCACCGGTAAGCCTCTGCGCTTCCAATGGGATTTCCTTAGCTCGAAGTGCATCTGCAAGTGAGAGTTAGTGAATCAGAAGCAGGATTTTCTGCGGGAATCGCTTGGTGCGAGAGCTGATAGCGAGAGATGGACGACAAGTAGAAGCACGAAGAGTTTCTACAACGACAACCGTTTCGGACCCATATGGCCGATTGGTGAAAGGGCGAAGAACTAACTTACCATCGCTTCGGACAACTTCGGACAACTTTGCGTTCATACCGCTTTATATCCCCAAGGGTCAGGTGACCCCCGAGAGCAGCGATAAATTCGATAAGGAGGGAGCCAGAGAAATGAGCAGGATATCTACCAAAGTACGAAGACTCTTAGCACATTTCGGCCCTGTTTATGAATGCCATGCTTTCGTCTCATTGATTCTGATTTTTTGCTAAAGCGTCTATTTACTTTGAATTGATGCTCTGCTTTCTAGTCCTAGTGTTTTCTTTTCGTTTTTGATAGAGTGTTCTCTTTTGGAACCTCATAAAACGGCTGTCAAAATGTGAATTCTGCCGGCTAATCTGTTTCAGACAGTCTCAAGATCGTTTAGCAAACAATCAACTTCGTTATGATTTCTGGAATAGCTACATAAAATGATAAAAAAAGCTGATAAGTTATCAAATCACCTGAATTTTCTCAAGGGCGGTCGAAGTTAAGAAGTTGGCCAAAGTAAACTAGTCTGATTCTAGGATTTTCTCCTAACTCATGGCACTAGCACGTTTGCTCCGCAGACGCTAATCGGAACCCCGCACCTTTTAGCTTCCGCGAGAGCGCTTACCCGTTACGCCTAGCGAGTAGGCCATTTCGTTATACAACTCAAGCTGTTTCTGCTTTTCATGGTGTACTTACCTCAACACCTTATACGTGTGAGTGCTGACAAGCCATGGTAAGTGCACCATGAAAAGCTGAGTTGGAATGATGTGGTGCCTCGGTAGGGTAAGTGGTAGCGCACTTGCACGGTGCAGCAAAAGTGTGGGTTCGAGCCCCGTTTGGGGCAAAAGTTTTGTTCACACCACGCATTTTATGAAATTGCAAGGCGAACTGCGCTAAAACAGGCACTTAAGAATCAAAACAATTTCTGGACTATAATTTTTTTTATAACCACTCCTATGATGCAGACTATAGAGTAGCACCCGATAGGTCCAGGGTTGAATTGCAAAACTTATTTTGACGTATCTTCGGAGCTGGGTCCTCAGCTTCCGTTTTTATCAACGGCCTTTAGTTCGCTACCCTTAACCCTGTCATCGTGCAGTTTGGAAATATTAGATAGTGCGAAAATTGAGCAGCAGCACAAGTAGGTGAAGCACAGGATTTGTGCGAGATTGTTGTCGAGCTTCTCTCTGCATCTTAAGCGAGTTTGCTTGATCGCACACATTTGTCCACAATTCGTGCTCTTCTCAGACAAGTACTTCCCACTTTGCATTTTCTCAGTATCATACCGCAGCACCGAAAGCGAGCGCTTGCCACATCTCACGGCTGCTGTTCAGAGGTAACTCGAGGTGGACTTTTCCTGTTCCTTCGAAACCTTTAAGGCAGCAGCCCCTGATGAGCTCGTGTGCAGCATCTTATTCTGTGGGTATAGTTGCCAACAGTATCGAGCAGGGATAGCCGAGTGGTTAAGAGGTTAGACTCATGTCTGCACCTCCGAAAAACCGCGAGTTCGATCCCTGCCGAGGCTGTAAACCATGCCTTGCAAAAATTGCAAAAATGGTTCTAGTACCAGCGTCAGGCCCAGGTTGACAGGCCGGCTGATGAACACCCCAGTCACACCAAACATGTCTAAAGTCGAAAAAGAATCAGTGATAAAGCTAGGACGTCACCCGGAAGTGGCGCGCAGAACCCCCGCCCGAGTTCTGTGGTCAGTATGCGAGGGCTACCGAGGAGTGAACGGCCTCGGCCAAAGAAGCTAGTTCGAATTGGGACTCTGAACGTAGGATCGCTAACTGGGAAGTCCCGAGAGGTTGCTGATCTGATGACGCGCAGGAATATCCAAGTCCTATGCCTTCAGGAGACGCGATGGAAAGGTGCTAAGGCCAGGGAAATCGGGGAAGGTGTCAAACTCTACTACAATGGAGAAGACACCAAGCGGAACGGTGTGGCCATAGCGGTAGCGGAGTCGCTCAAGGACTATGTCTCCGCTGTGAACAGGATCAGCGATCGGATCATGGCTGTGAGGATAGACACGAAGGAGGGGTACTGGACCATACTCTCCGTGTACGCACCGCAAGCCGGATGCCCCGAAAGTGATAAGGACGAGTTCTATCTGAGCCTGGACGTATCATTAGTTCAGAATGTTATGGTCACCCACTTTGGAGTGCGCGATAAAGGCTAAGGCTACAGACGTGGGATATGGGAACAAATGTGAGAGCGCAGAAATTTGTTCACAGCACTGCTTCCCGTACATGCAGAGCCATATGAACCACAGCAACTGCGGCCCGAAGATGAGGAGGTGGTGATTCACGATCAACCGCAGTAACAGGTGATCGCTACGTTTTCCAATAGGCAAGAATGGATCCACGTCTGTTGCCGGTCTACAGTTGCGAAAACTTCTCAGGATTTGAAGTACTAATGTCAGCCTAACAGTGGGACGGTGTTTCTGCCCGACGATTGTATTTGGCATACCGTTAAAACCCGCGCATCGACGACAGCATTTGCTAGGTACTGAGGCATTGAGAGTGAACCCGCAATTAGGAGGATTGTTTCTTCTAATTCACGACGCGATCTGTAATTGTTATTGTGTGGTGCTTTACTTGAAAATTAAAGAACGAAAAGAAGGCCAGGACGTAATGCATGCCCAACGCGGTGTCGGACATGACTCGTTTTAGTAGTTCAAGGTCGATCGTGTGGAGAGGGCATCAAATTGCAGAGTTTCATCTCTACATTTCGTGACATTGTTCCTTCCCCTCAACTTATCTGTGTCCTGTATCCTGCAAACTCGACCCTATTCGTTCGTTATGGGGACATGGCCAGTCGAACAGCCCCAGATGGCATGTTCGAACGATGAGGATATTCGCGATCGTTGGCCTGCCCGCTTCCCCCACTCAAATCCTCAAGCACTTGTAAGATCATTTAGGAGAGCTATTGCAGCACACTTACATCCACTGTCAATCACAGTGTTTCGATCGTAAGGACCTCGTTTCACAGAAAAAAATCCTTACGAATTTGTAACCCGGGATGGGTGCAGTAAGCAGGGGGTACCCCCCAGGAGGCTCGTCGCGCGGCAAGAAGGCCGGGTCGGCGGACGAGTTGCAGCGCGTGTGTGCGATGTAGGACGTGCAGTGGGACATTCTATTCAACTTGACGCGAATCCCTATAGTACGCGCGCGACTCGTCCGCTGACTTTGCCTTCTTTGCCGCGCGATGGGCCTCCTGGGGGGTACCCGAAGCTGGCATGCACTTCAGGTTTAAGCATTAAGCCCTATCAAACCATTTCTACCTCAAAGCTTCCCGCGTGGATTGGTAGTTTCACCATCATTACTGTCTAATCAAGGGGAGCACTCCCTAATTTTCAACTGTTTGGCGCAGTAACACCTGATAGCTGTAAGGTAATACCTTCTTGTGGGCCAATCATTCGAGCTAGTTACTTTCCAAGAGATGTCATAGGAAATTGCTTCGTCTTTCAGTTTTGCACACCTGGTATTATTGGTTCCAGAAATTAAACGTCATTGACCCTGTTTGAAACCGTCATTCCCTCGCTACTTTATCATGTGATATGTGAGCCAGTACAGTGTACACATTTTTTCAGCTCGCGTGTTTAGTTGCTCCTGCATGAAGCTCGAAAGATCTGGACCGATGAATCGTTGTAAATTCATCTCGCTTGTCTACTAAAGCACTTCTACTTCAAGAAGTTGTTAGAGCTCACTAAGAAGTAGTCTTCGGGGAAGAGGGCCTTCAACTATGATGAGTAGGCAGGGCTTCGTATCCCAACTCGTTCGTTTTAGAACGTCAGTTGTTCGAGGCGTGATCGCGCACTGCTGAATGGGAGGATACAGTCCCTTGCTTTCGACTGAGGTTGGGCTCATTGTTGAGCTTTCTGATACATCGTCCAACTTTGAAATACTCCTTTGCTGTAATTGCTATCGCAATTTTCAATAGCTGCTGTGAATCAGGCCTCGACTGGTCACGCAATAACCCCCATGATGTGACCTCCACCATGGAACATTTTGATTTGGCTCCTCAAAATGCGGCCGCAACACTCAGCCGATTGTCAACGATGCCAAAAGATTAATTGCTAGTCTCGCGTTGCCAAAAGAAAAGTCCATTGTGGCTGCGCGAAAGAAGCGGCCACAATAATCTCCCCAACTACGCCATGTTATGTATTGTCGAACTCGTAGAAAGCCTTTGATCCACCTTACTCGGTACCAATTTCCGATGCTACACCTGGAAACGCTGCTGAGTTTCACACAGCTCTAAAAGTGTTATTCGGCCACCAACGTGCCCTTTACCTTCCGAGTCCATTTTGTGTAAAGTCATATAAGGCGATCCCTCTCATCTTGAACGATGGAATTCGTTGGCGATGCGGTTTGGAACTATGCTCAACGTTCTTGATTAGCACTTCCTTTACACACACCGCCTTTACCTTTCGAGCTATTATAAATATTTTGCTGAATTTCAACCGAGCTTGACTTTGTAGAGGTAAAAGGTTGAGCGGAAATTTTCCGCATTTTTACAGGCTCACGTATTTGATTTTTTTGGATCAATTGGACGATAAATGAGGAGTCTGGAAGCGCGCGCATCTGTTGTGCATCTGTTGTGCATATCTGTGTGCAACATTTTATTTCACTATGGGGCTTAAACACGAGTAAAAAGGATTGCCTGTGCTACATGAGTCCACGTTGAGCTCGAAACCGAATGCTCAGCGCAGGCTGGGGTAATGGCACGGCCGCAGAGAGGACTGTTCGAGAACGTTTGTTGAATAATCTTTTGTTGTTGTTTTTGTTTGTGATAAGAACGTGTGAAGACTTATGGTCAGCTTCGTTATCGCGGCTTTGACTGTTTTTGTCATTGAACGTCGTTAAGCTTTTATGAGTCGTTGGCTTTTTTAGGCGTTTAAAGCGCTGGATCGTTTCAAGGAGTGGACTCTCGACCTCAAAGTTCTTTCATGGAAGGCGCACATGCGAAGTCCTGGTGGTGCGCTTTCTTGCATCAGATAGGTCGATATCAAACCGCATTTTTAAAGTGGGCTCTAGACAAGAACTGTTTAGCCTTTGCTAATGCTACGGC